ACCTGGACGACGTGCTGATCGTTGCTGTTTCCCCCGAAGAGCTTCGTGAGCGAATCAATGCCGTCTTACTGCGCATTCAGGACAATGGCCTCCGCCTCCGTCCCGAGAAGTGTCAATTCTTCTTGACAACTGTGAAATATCTTGGGTTCATTTTTGACGCCTCTGGTCGCTATCCTGACCCGGAAAACGTTCGAGCTATACAGCAGATGCCACCTCCTAAGGATGTACCATCATTACGTTCCCTTTTGGGGTTAATCAGCTACTATTCGGCATTCCTGCCTTCGTTGCACGACATCCGGCCCCCGCTAAATCGGTTGCTTGGAAAGGATGTCCCCTGGTGTTGGTCAGACGAATGCGAGGAAGCATTCTGCAAACTAAAGACGATGCTCAGTTCTGATCTGCTACTTACCCACTACGACCCAAAGCTGCCGATCGTTGTGGCAGCTGATGCCTCTAATTTTGGTGTCGGTGCCGTCATTCTACACGTCTTTCCAGACGGATCGGAGAGGGCCATTATGCATGCGTCGAAATCACTAACCCCAGCAGAACAGCGATACGCACAGATAGAGAAAGAAGCGTTGGCCTTAGTGTTCGCGGTTCGGCGTTTCCACAAAATGTTGTATGGCCGCCGTTTCACCCTACTTACCGATCATAAACCATTGCTCTCCATTTTCGGCTCAAGGAAAGGTGTTCCCGTACACTCTGCCAACCGCCTGCAAAGATGGGCCCTGATTATGCTGGGTTATGACTTCGATATTCAATATCGACGCACCACCGACTTCGGTCAGGCCGATGCATTATCTCGGCTGATCAACAACCAGCCAACACCCGAAGAAGACACGGTTATTGCGCATGTTGCATTTGAGGACCCAGCCGACCCACAGTTGGTCCAGTCCGTTCGTGCCCTGCCCGTGACAGTAACAGAGGTTCAAAGAGCTACCACAGCTGATGGAACGCTTCAAAAGGTGATCCGATTCATGAATTCTCGGTGGCCTTCGAATCTCAAAGATGATTCCCTTCGACAGCTCTTTCATCGCCGAGATGCATTAGCGATCGTAAAAGATTGTTTAATGTTTGGAGATCGCGTGGTGATTCCGCAACCTTTACGCCATCGAGTTCTTCGTCAGTTCCATTCTGGACATCCAGGAATCAACCGTATGAAGTCAATAGCTCGCAGTTACGCATACTGGCCGCACATGGACCAGCACATCACTGATTTTGTAAAACGCTGCTCCCGATGTCAACAAGCTTCAAAGAATCCGCCACACCAACCACCGGTTCCCTGGCCTCGACCTGAAAAGCCCTGGTCTCGGATCCACATTGATTACGCAGGACCGATAAATGGCACTTTTTATTTGGTTTTGATTGACGCTTTTTCCAAGTGGCCAGAAATCGTTCCGGTGTCATCTCCAACAACATCTAGTACGCTGAGAGTGTTATCCAACATTTTCAGTCAGCATGGATTACCGGAGTCCATAGTCTCAGACAATGGTTCGCAGTTCACCTCTGCTGAGTTCCGCGACTTCTGCACTCGACATGCGATAACACACGTTCGTTCACCACCGTACCACCCACAATCGAACGGTCAAGCAGAAAGGTTCGTCGACACATTCAAGAGGGCTTTGCTTAAAGCTCGAGGGGAGGAGACATCCGTCGAAGCCCTTCAGAGATTCCTGTTTGTGTACCGAACGACCCCGAATGACGCTTTGGCAAACCACCAGTCACCTGCAGAGGCACTCATGGGCCGTAAACTTAGAACTGCGCATTCTTCCATGTTGCCAACACAACCTACTGAGTCAAGGTCCATACAGTTGGCAGTTGGAACTCCATTCAAAGTGGGAACGCCCGTGCCTGTCCGTGACTATCGCCCAGGATATGATTCATGGATTGCACGCCGTATCCTGCGCAAACGCGGTAGTGTAATGTTCGGCGTGTCGGTTGGTCAAGACAGCTGGACGAGACATCAAAACCAACTCCACTTTAACAGCATGCCGGAACCTTAAGTATGTTCCGGTACCGTACCGTTGGACATATTGCTCGATACTGTTGAGCTGAAAACTGAGACAGCTTCGAAAGAGGAGAGTGTGACCAGCAGCTCAGTATTTGATCCAACACTTCTGCCCAGGTGGTGGACAGACCGACACCGCCAGGCGGAACGTATCCAGGTTGACCCCCGTCGAGTATGTTGCTGACTTTTCACAAGGAAAGGTGTTGAGGATATCAATATCCCCCAAAAACGCTGTATTTTTATGTGTGCTACCGAACTTCCGGCATCTTCTAGGTCAAACTATGAATAAATCAATGGCTTATTGATATTCCAAGAAATTTAAATCCGACGACTTGCACGATATCATCTTTTTACTGGCATGGGTTCGGAAGCTCGGGGCATCGCCTGTTGATCGCGTGTTTTTGGATCATTAATGTTTGTGTCCGAGGTTTTTCGTCTTCTTACTATCCGCCGTGCTAGGAGTCTGGATCAAGCAACACAGCTGGGGATAGATTATTGCCACAACCCGCATATCATATTGTTTGCTTGCTGCGGGACCGAACTGTAACAGACCTGCTCTGATCCGCGCTTCGGACATTCTTGTTGTCCGCGATCACTTCCACCCTATCTGTGCATTACACCCGGAGGGACCCCCCGACCGGACAAAACACGAATCAAGCCTGCGATGTTTCATTGATCTTGCTGTCCCTGCGGAATCCCCTGGCAAACCCACGACATCCGGATTTTCAAAATACTACGCATCCCACAACTAACCCAATTACGACGTTCATCAGGGAGCTGCTCGGAAACTGAAATGTCTCAGTGCAGTGATGGCACGGCGCTGTCATACCCAGTTTGATAGCATAGCCGCAACAGTTCAAACCAAATGAGTTTGCAAATGAGTGCATATTCGCATAATTCGTGCAACTTGGTATCAAGTAGGACATAATGTTGACGGAAACCCGGGGGCTGCGCGTGCCTGATGAGCTCCGTAAAGGGCGAAACCGGTCGTGGGCTGTCGACGAATTGTCAGCATCCTTATGAGTAGCATATTAAAAAGTTCACTCCCTGCTTTCACTCCGCTCCACCCCCCACTCGTTCCCTTATCTGCGAACACAATCAAAGTCTTCTTCTGGTCCCAGACACCTTCATGAGGCGTTCATTGCAATCTGGCGACATCCTATTGGATCTAAACATCTTGCTGTGCTTTACTTTGTACACCTCACCAAGCTGGTCGTTTTCCGTGCGGTTCGCCTTGCCTCTTTTGCGTTCGCATGAACTCCTTCTCCCGGGGAAACTTTAGACCTGATTCCACTCCAGTAACACCAGTGAGTCTCTCCAGTTTTACTGCAAACTGGGACTCCGAGCTTCCTAAAAGTTATCGATCACCACGTTCAGTTTGGGACCGATTATTGAAGCTATCTCCGCTAAGTATGCCGAAAGGACAAATGGCCTGGTATGTGGTCTCTCTGTCGCTCAATTCCGCCCTCATCGATGGGCGAGTACCGCCTAAAAATCTAAAGTTGTCACTCCATGGCGTTTGTACATCTGCTTGGTGCTATATCATGTGATGTACTCTGTGCCTGTGTGTTTTGTTGGCAACAGCCTGAGTACCAGGTCCAGTACACGGGGAAACCATAACCGCGCACAAAACTCGACTTCTCAATTGGGGTCACCGTGTTATCGATAACCTTTGAAATGTGGCAATAATAATTATAAAAAGAAAGAAATGCAGCAAAATGGTAAAATAACAGGCACATCGTTAGATAATGGCATTCGCAATCCGGCGAGCATTTCATTTACCGGACAATATTTAGAAAGCATTTAGATCACCACCGGAAAGATCCCTAATGATTTAGTGACCCAGCTAGATGTGGTAGCTTGACACCATCAAGTCTCCAACGAATGTCGGTGGCCTCGGAATTGAAGAACGTTTAACTCCGTACAAGAAATCATTCGGAGTCCACCTCCATTGCGGGATACCCGGATGTGCACTTTGTCGTCAGGAACGATGCTGCAGTAGTAAAAAAAGCTAAACGAATTTTCACCAGACTCCTTGTTAGTCTCAATCAATGAACCCTTCATGCCAGATATGGTGTGGTGGAGCGTTTGAGGGACGATTGTGTCGGCACGTAGTTGATATAACCGAGAGAAGGCACGTTCAATCAAGCCTATGGAAACCTGATTACAAATTAAGCTCTTCTACTCAATCGGAAGGGTAGTTTTTCGTTGTGAAATTGTGAGGAAATTGTGATGATGGATTATACTTACCAACGTAGTGTAAAATGGCTAGTTCCTGGTTCATGTTGAAGTTTTCTCGCATTCATTTCACGATGACTTACTTGAATTTTTTGCTGCTGTCCTGACATCCTGACAATATTTTCAACTAGTCTCTACGCTAATACTGCTTCATGCAGTCAACTGATTCACAGGAATTTGAAAGTTGTTCGTGAGCTTTGCGTATGGTGTCAGCCAGTCGGGAAGGTACACAAAAGCCCGACACAGGCCGGACTGAAGCCCGACGCATGCTTTGTAGTTACTGATGCTTACGATCAAAATGTTTTGCGGGCACTAATCAAGAATGCCTTAGTTTCCCAGTTCGCACAGCCGACTAACATTTCGTTTGTAAAGAACTGGACAAAAAGGCACTGGCTTATCCTACCAAACTTGTGAGGTTATCCTACCTGACTAAAGTTTATCAACACACAAGAGAAAACCAGTATCATGCTAGGTTATCTGACGTATGACATGGCTTAGTTAACAACACCCCATTGGTAATATTGATCTTCTCGACATGCGCAACACCCTCTTTACAGTCGGGTCCTTGACGTTTCACTACAGTGTTCTGTCCATCCTCCGCTTAGCCGGGCGCGTACATGTATCTTGCGTTATCTGAGCAACAGCATGAAGCTGAGTGGATGTGATGCCAACTGTTTCAGGTTTTAGGTTCAATGATAGCTGACGCGGCATTTTATTTGACTGAGCCAATTCCAAAGTAGATTGAACTGAAGAAGGCGATTTCTCAACGGCTAGGTCATTCCGGTTAATTCGACGCGGTGCACACCACGCCTTTTGTTTACAATGCCGATTGCGGACTACGAGGGTTATCTAGACCAGGACGATGAAGTCGGTCCAGTAGACGCTGTTATTGATCCTGCATGGGAACAGCAGCAGAAAAAAGTATGTTTAGATAACACTCATTTCAATGTTAGACTTTTACTGCCTGGTGCAATGCTCATTTGCGGAAGGCTAATATGTCGATTGATTCTATCGAAAATGACTTTCGGGATGGGCTTAAGTTGATGCGTTTACTGGAAGTCATTTCTGGAGAGTCTCTTCCAAAACCGGACAGAGGAAAAATGCGTTTCCACAAAATCGCGAACGTCAACAAGGCACTTGATTTTATTGTGAGCAAAGGCGTGAAACTTGTTTCTATCGGCGCGGAGGGTTTGTTCATAATCTAATTGCACAAATGGCTTTAGAAATCGTCGACGGCAATGTGAAGATGACTTTGGGCATGATATGGACCATCATTTTGCGTTTCGCTATCCAAGATATCCAAATCGAAGGTATCATTCACCCATTTCCTTAACATGGTCGATAGATTCTTCTGCAAAGGAGGGACTTTTGTTGTGGTGTCAAAGACAGACGGCTCCTTACAAAAATGTGAAGGTTGATAATTTCCATACTAGGTAAGCTTTTGTTAACCATTTATGCGCCTTCAGCTTCAAGGATGGACTTGCTTTTTGCGCAATTATTCATCGCAACCGTCCAGATCTAATCAACTATGACACACTATCTTCAGTAGGTTTAACATTTCATCGGTGATCTTCCAGAGCAACGCACTTCACAACTTGAACTATGCCTTTGATGTTGCGGAACATCATCTCGATATTCCACGTATGTTGGACCCTGCAGGTACATTGTTCGATGGTACTCACAAGCCCTGTTAGATATGGTGAACAGCATCAAACCGGATGAGCGTTCTGTCATGGCATACGTTTCCATGTACTATCACAAGTTTGCTGGTGCAAGCAAGGTAAGTTTGATGACATCTCCGACAAGCATTGGTCTCGCTCATTCGGGAGGAGCTTGCCTTTTCATGAAAAAATGTGGATATGTACTGTGATTTTAGATTGGCATATCGTCGATATTGTCCACACTTGAATTTATGGTGCAAACCAAGGGTAGCAGACAATCGGGAGATGAACGTAAATATAAGTTGTTACCATAATTGTGCCGCACATAGGATGTAGGAAGACCTCCCGCCCCTTTGGATCTTATGCTATGTTTCCCGAGTTTGCGTGCGATGGGCTGTTGACACCATTCGGTATCTTTTCCCAGGCGCATTCACTACTCAACCGTTTCACCGGAGAGTTTCACCCACATTTACTTTCCGATAGATTGGACCAGATGACAGGGCAAATCTCTTGGATATTCACTGTCTTTAGACTCTTCGCCGTTTTTTCTTGATGTGGTGCACTGTCGTCATCACTGGTATGAGTTTTCCAGTATCTATCAGAGTCAATGGCCACACGAAATTCCGTGATTGTTTTGTAGTTGCACAACTGACATGGTTTTTCGCGCATACCTTAGTGTCTCAATCAAAAGCGCATTACCACCATCAGGGTTGAGAGTTTGTAGATTTGCACACATTGATGTCGCTGTTTTACATCTCCAAGGGAGGTTTATCAACAGCTTGTTGGCTTATGTATTTCTGAGGCATAGCAAATGTGCAAATGCGCACTCCTCATACTGTGGCTCAAATCAAGTTGTGTTGTCCATGGGTGATGTCGGTATTAACCGGGATAGATTTCCAGTTGCTTAGTTTCTTGACCGCCAGGCTCGTGAAGAAGTTCATTTCATCCAAAAAGAGGCTGTATTCAGTACACAATTGGGACAGTCGGTTCGCGTTGCTTGTGGTAAAAGCTTAAATTCCTACTCGGCGCCCATATGCCCTATCGCAAAGCTCGAGTGACAAGCTTGAGCGTTCCTGTCGCCTGCAAAGATGACAATGATGATGCTTTTGTTTGACCAATTAACCCAAAACGAAACAACATTAATCGTCCAGCTATAATTCCCTTTCGGTTCATAGCTGCCATGCAACTCGAAAGCAGCTTTAATGCTGATTTGCTGTCAGGGTGTACAGACAATATTTATATGATCACTAGTGGGCTTAACTTGGGAGGTGTAGGAACCATTATCCGATAGGAACTTCATCCGATTTCAGTCGAGATAATGCTTCCCAACACGGGTGAATAACGCGTTCATCATCGGAAAATATAATAAGGCCTGGATATCGCTACTCTAGGAGATAGGGGTGCGGCTTCCTATACCTTAAGGCCGAAACCGATGCATCAGAGCGCTGCGTTTGGTACACGGATGATATAATAAATCTAAAAAGACAGTATCCTTTCTGTCTCTTACTGGCTTTTTGGCAGTTTTTATTAGCACATGCGAGCCTTCCGCGTTTATACGACTTCGGTATGTTGTAGAGCGGGCTGTTCTTCCGAGATTTGCCGCCAGTCGTGGGTTTTGGTGGTGGTACTGCAGTGGTTCAGAGTCTCATTAATAGCCTAATATGTAGGCTATGGAAGCACCGTGGAACAGTAGTTCTTCTAAGGCACCGGTCCGCGACAGTTCTTGTGGACAGAAGAAACCCCTTGGTTTGAGGTTCAGTAAGAAAGACTGCACACCCGCAGCAAGAAAATCAACCTAAATAGCGGCGCTGTACATTGCAGTAAGTACTCAACCATATTAGTGTAGCGGGAACCCGGTAGGAGGCCGTCGTGGGTGTTTTGTTGGACTTAGATGGTCGGGAGTCTTCATTTGTGCACCTAAGCAACAACTCGGATGCTATCTTCACCTTTCTACTCTGAAATAATTGCAGTTGCCGACGTGACCCACAGTTCGACGTTTGTCTTATCCACTAAACCGTTTCGTCTTAACGCAGTCGCGCGAAAATACCTTGCAAATTTGTCTCACTGGCTCTCGAAAGACTTGCCAAAGTCATCACAATTTCATTACGGAGTTATCTAGGCCTCATCCAATAGGCTGTTGCTCATATGTCTACATTAATGTCAGAAAAACTGATCAAACCTCAGGATATTGTTTGGTTGTTGGTATGGTCACGGATCTTGGCAGTCGTACCCTAAATGTTCTGTTGCCAATGAGCTCGAATTGGCGCGGATTTACTCACCGGAAGGTCCGTGTTTCTAACTCAATCCCTGCACCTCGACTGCTCTTGTGTAGGCTTGTTCAGCCTGGCAGTATCTTAGCCCTCGTGTTTATCTCGGGTGGCATGGCAGCTAAGCACTACAAGGGAACAGCCTAGATGCCCAAGTTGGTTTCGACCCAACCCACCAGTCATTATACTGATGCCTGTCCCATCTATCTCGAGCTCGGATAGACCCAGGTATCATTGTCAGGTATCGGTAGTGCAGCTCACCGGAACACAGCTGGTACCATTCCGAGTAAGCACCATCCATCATGACACCTAAGTGGCAACATTAGGAGTAACTGGCCTGCATAACCACTGACGGCTGGAACTCGTTTCGGTTGCGCGATTGCAACATCTGCACCATGTAAAAATAGGACTATTGCTCAAGGATCACTGGTCATTCACGCGTTAATGCGTAAAATCTTGTGTGCAGTCTTAGGAGACACTACTTACAAATATGGGGTAACCTAAGGTCTTAGCGCATATCGCCTCCTAGTTAGTTTCATACGGGACACGCCGAGTGCCTATCTTTAGAAGGGGTCTCGCTGGTTTTTAAAACATTGTCTTTTCTCTCAGTGGACTGAGGGTTGAATAAGAAGCGTAGATTACTAGGATAAAGATAGATTAATCCAGTGGGGCTCGCTGGTGGGTAAACCATCTCGTGAGATAACGATATCGACTATATTTCTAGTGAGATTGGATCTCTAAGATGTCGTTTTAACAGGCTGGTCCTGCTGGGAAGTTGTATGATTGGTGAGTCTGGCAAAGTTTGTGGAGTGGCTTCGAAGAGTACTACTCGGACTGGTCCATTCCTCAAGCTCTTTCGGGATAGCATTCAGAGTAGTGGATGTTGCAGAAGCCATTTGTGCTTATTTGATATCCCTCCCGCTGGGGTATAGGACAGCTGCAGGTCGTTTTCTGCGTATAACGGATGAAGGTTGCTCAGAAGGCTTGGAAACGTCCGTATCCGTAATGCGAGCTTCCGAAGCTGGCGGCTGCGAAGTTGGTTTGGGTTTGGGTGGTCTAATTGACTAAATATCTGATTGACTGGCCTCAATTTTCACTAGTAGAAAGGTATGTAATCGAAGGATAAATATCCTACGATTTTCTGGCCGATGGGGCCATGAGTATTCACATGGGTGACATGCTATACGACCGCTAGTCACTTTCCTATGCGTAGAAAACCTCACAGCCATTTAAATGAATGTCTATATTTGTTTGCTCATTGACGGTTACCCTGTAGCCGAATGGGGATGGTTTGAGCGTGCGACTGTTTCAAATACCAATGGAGGGTCTCGTACGGCAGTAATACAACCAAGCTGTCTGATAGCATCCGTAACATTGCATCATACGGTTAATTCGTCGGCATAAATAGCCAAACTTCAGTTCATATGATGTGCATTGGTTTCACTCCGATTTTGCTGTTCAGCCATGTGAACTTTGTTGAATAGGGAAAAATCCTCAAACACAGATAGAATCATGCACTAACAGACTCAGCAGTACATTCTGCACATGATCAGCATTCTATGTATGCGCATGCGCGAAAGCATAACTACCATACAGTCAGGAGATACTGCGCCCAACCCATTAGGAATTTAATGGGGAATGTGCACAGCTAATTTTTGGAATACATGAGTTTCGCATCGATGGTTGAGGATTTTTACCATAAGTACATAAAGTATTTTCTGAAAAAGGTTATTCCAATAATCTACTGTCCTGTGTGGAATCATAGACTTGGAACGATCTAATAATCAGGTTTAATCAGGTTAGCCGAACCCCTCCACACTTGTTAAGCTACCGCTCATGCTTTTCGAACAGTGACTCCCTAAAGGTTGATGTGTGACTGAACACTTACCTGATTTTTCCCAAACCTACAGGCAACTATGGCTGCTAACCGAATTGCTAATCTGCTGAAGGAACAAAGGGAAAATGCCAGATTGATAGAAGAATATGAAACAATTTCAAGTAACTTGTTGAATTGGATCATGGCGAAATTGAAACACTTTTCCGTAAGTGATTGCTACTCGGATTTCACGACGTCTTATGCCTAGGACTTTTGTCGTACAAGTTTATTCTCTTCTGTACCCCTGTTTTAATCAACTGGCCTGGGTACGTTACTTTGTTACCGTAATACCTGCTTAGTACAGTTGCCCACCTCCATCCAAAAAAGGGAATCTTCAAGAGGGACAGTCTAACTGCTAAAACATAGATAGGAGAGAACCTTTCAAACTATTGTCTGAGAAATCTGTAGACAGGTTTTTAATTCGCTGTCCTTTCTGTAATCGAAATCTAAACCAGGCTTTCTACCGTTTTCAGAACAAATGGTTTTATCGTCTCAGCTTGTTCTTAGGTAAAGGTAGAGAATTCAGTGCGTAATTTACTCAAGTCATTAGGCTCATGTTGCATTCTGTATATGGTTCAAGAGTTCAGTCACATTTGGCATGCCAGCAAACCTGGAGTTCGAAGATTGGGCACAGGTCTCGGGGGGGGGTATTGACGAGCTGTTGTTTTGACTGAAGTTGTGCAGCTAGCAGACGGTGTTTGGAGCGAAAACAAAGACGGAATGGCTGTTGTTATCGTTTTTCTTTACGACATCAATATATGAAATTATGGTTACATGTAAGGCAGTGAAAATGCCCTATTGGTGTGATCAAGAGACTGGCAACGACCGAGAAAGTCAAGCAGTAGAGTTGTGCGAAGATCTCGACATTACAGCTTGAGGGGTGTACAATGTAAATGCAAACAACATTCCCATCATTGTCCATTTTTCAAAAGAATGCTCACGGTGGTCATCAATGCACCGAAAGTGGGCATTCGTGGATAGCCATTTAAATTTCAAAGCAGGTACGCAGGCAGCTGAACTGGCGTCACCCGTTGAGCAATCGAGCAGGTAGCTGAACTGGCGTCACCCGTTGAGCAATCGAATTTCAGACGAAGCAGTCTTATACTGAGGACGACTTTCGAAAGTATGCGATGGTTACTAATCAGTGGTGCAACACGATGCATCCTCCAGCTGTTGAATGTTGGACTCATAGGAACCAAGGATCGAATACTAGACAAAGCATTGCTGGGCGCAATCTTGTTCACAAATTCTCCGGAATTTTAAGTTTGTACACAAAATAGTTAGGTAACCATTGGTGGATACCGCAAATTTATTAATTAACTATTGCGAAAGCCGCTTTGCGCAGCTGTTCCCTGTTGATTCGTGAACTGTAGCTTTGTTGCAAGCCGTGCACATTTGAAACTGCAGGGAACTTCCCCACATACCGGCTCCAACACCCCCAAACACCTAACAGCTCTTGTGATTTATTAACCGAAATTAGGTTGTAAACCGTACATCACTGTTATCATCGGTCCCTTGTAGATTGTGATTCGCAGTTTGAATATCGGGAGCACCGTGTAACGAAAAGAAGTTATGAAAGAGCGCCTTTAACGTTATGGCACCTGTTAGGAGGTTGTTATGTGGGGCGACTTGAAGATGCCTAAAACATCTCCCTAAGCATTTACCTACCAGATTTACTTCTTATTTGGTTACATGGGCAATTACTGCACTGTCAGAAAGAACCTATAGGTGGTTGAACTGGATCTACCTCTTTCTCCGATGAGAACACAGCTAGAAAAACACTATTTTGGAATGTCCCTTCTTAAGTAGTACAGTGGGTCATTTGTTAGTTGGTTTGTTGATTATTTACCGACTGGCTTTGTTAATTTTTGTGTTCTCCGTCATCAAGGTACGTAATCCCCAACAAACGGTGGCGTCAGTAGAACACTTACAATCTGAATCTCGAGTTTATCGTCGCGAGGAAAAACCAAGCAAATTACAGGATAAAGCACTTCTTGAGACAACCTACAATACTCTTCAAACGCGCCTGCGTTTAAGCAAACGACCCGCCTATGTTCCATCTGTGGACAAATACATTTCCGCCATCGGAGCTAGATGGGACGAACTAGAGAAGGCAGATCGAACCTATGAGGTAAGCGATTATATAACGCCCTTCGTACACTACATTAGAGTGCATCCGGTATCTTCTATCCCTATCCAACTTCACCCCCGGCGTTACCCGTTTGCGCGGATTTTTGCGCTGTGAAACCTTTCTCACATTTAGGCATGTCCGCTTTTTTACTTTCATAGGAATGGCTATTAGAAGAGTTGCAACGCGTGAGACGTGTGGAATATCTGATAAAGAAATTCGAGATCCGCTGTTCTACTCACGAGGCCTGGGCCAAAGGCAAACCCCAAGCGTTAAGTGGTGACGCCCATCTAAAGTGCACCCTACCAGAACTACGTGCACTAATGAAACGTCATGAGGCCTTCCAGTCGGAGTTGGCAGCCAACGACGATCGTGTTGAACGTATTGGTGCACTTGCTGATGAACTCGGGTAAGCTACGTCTCATCTGACGCCCATTAATCAACAGCCTCACTGCCTGGGATTGACGACTGTTTGCTAACTTTTTGAACTTCCTGTCAAATTCATGTCACTATATCTGACTAAGGACCAACTTTCCTTCAAATTACACCCCGATTCCTTTGTAATTGCGAAAATCGCAGTATCAGTTTTAAAGCAAGCTCTCGATCACCCTTTCTAGTGCTACTACGAAAAACCGAAGCATTATAGAGGTGATCACATCAAGGTAGTTCGGGTCATTTGACAATTTGGATTTTGAGGGAAATGACGCGGTTTTTTTGGAGAAGAGGTCGTCGTTAGAGGGAGACTTAGCAGGTAGGAGGAACTTTGCCAGTTTCAACAGATCATTTCTCACGAGTACTCACAACGAACAACGCTCATCAGCTTTCTCCGGGACTCCTTTCATCTGAAAAAGGCACCCTCTCTCCAGGGAGCTCGTGGTTTTTATCTCCACGACGGTATTTTCCCTCCACTCTGGTTACCTTGTAAAAAAATCAGGGAAAATGTAGTCTGAGAAGCGTATGTACGATGTTTTTTATTCATTGCTATTTGTTGGTATCACCGAAAAAGCGGTACCAATGTGATTAACTGTGGTTATTTGGGACGATAACACTTTATTACTTCACCTAAAGACAGCAAACACTAAGTTCATGCATTGTTGTATGGAGAAACCTAAATTGTTTTGAAGCATCACAACCGTGGTGTCGAAGACTAACTGTTGGTCGTGCTTGAAATAGCCAAAGCTGAAATGATGTTGTGACTAAAATCGAGTTACTGGTCCATTTTCGCATGATAGAGAATTCCTGTATTGTCAAACACGCAGTGGACGAAAGTGCAAAAAATTCTTTGATGCCGTGGAGTTTTTGGTATGCATTCTTTCGCAACCTGTATCCTGATCTGACACCACCAGACTCAGAACACGGGCTAAAACTGTAGTAAATAAGACTGCGGTCGATCGATTGTAGTCGCTTGCGGTGTTAAAGCACCAAAGCTTTTTGTCTTAAGCAGGCCTTGATACGTACGCATTTGTATCACACAACATGTGTGATAGTAGCCACGACAAATTATTGTAACGGTCCGAAGGAGGCTTTGATGACCGCCTCCAAGGTTGGAGTGAACAAGATATGGTTATGCTGCATGTGGTCTGTCGCGTAAAATTCCGTCTCGGGCTCATATGACATTAAATATAGAGTGGTCAAGCTGACTGGAGCAAACAGATGTGAAGCAAAACATCGGAAACACGGATTTTATGTGAATATGTGTTTTACGGGCACTGCTGCAAAATGTGCTTTGGGGTGGTTCATGGTTTGCGGCATTTGGAGTGCAAATTTGTGTTTGCTAGTAGAACGCCGTGCATAAATGACTTGAGTCATCCGTTGGTATTTTTGTATCCTTTGCTTTGTCAGTCAAATGGATGTTGGTTTTGATACACATAAATGAGTTTCGACAGTTTTCGAGGGTCACGGCGATCCTCAGCATCGAAGGGTGACCGCGAAAAGTCTACACATGGTCTCCACTGTGCGTGGATTCCATGACCAGGTGAATGGATCCGCCCGTACATAGGGACTATTGATGCTGTGGAAAGCTAGCTTCGAGCCGAGCATAAATTTCTATGGCAGAAAACACCGTTTTTCAGGTCCATCGCATTTAGCTCTGTTGAGCAAGCCCAGCTTCACCTTTTTTCTGACAGTTCCTTGATAACAATGCGGAAAGTAGGTATGGGCCACTCCCATCCAAGACTACTACAATTGGTTGAACATTGGTAAATTTGCAATGACGCATCCTAAGTGACCTTGGGATTCCTCATCAAGTGATTTACAGCAGTTGGTACTTCGAAGGTTATGCAGTCCGATTGTGACAGGTTTTGCGGTCGCAATTGGTTTCACTTAGTGGGATTAGGGCAAGACCTTTGGCCCTCGGCCCCGTGGTGCCCGAGTAAGCCTAGCTGACCGATTGTCCTAAAATAAAAAAGACTCGGGTTTTGTTGTTAATACACGACGAGGAGTTGTGCCTCACCATTTATTGCAGTGAACAACTAGCCTAACCTTCTCAGTACCGCTTCTCCGGCGTCATCATAGCCGCAGCCTACTCATTCACGGTGCCAGTCTTAATCAATCGTGTGTAGGCTGTTGGTGGAAACAGAATAGAAGTCAGAGAAGTTAAAAAGAATATTCCGATGGTCTCATCTTGGAAGGCGAAGTACTAACAAACAAAACCTCAAATAATGTGAGCAGAAGCCGTCCCGCTCGACAAACTCAAGGCGTTCTACCAATGTTGTGGAATGTAGGTAGCTCGGGTGCGCTGTTTGGTTGTTTCACCTGTAATCCTTCTGAAGAGCATCTAGGACGAAAAATGTTGGCCACAGCGGGACTAGACTCGTCGGAATGGGATGGATTACCATATTTCCTTCAAGGTCGTTCTTCATACCTGATTTAGCGCTGGGAACAGCCATTTCATATGTTCATTTGCTTACGGATTTGGTTCTCTGTTATGAGCTTGATTCCTTTTTCAAAGAACTGTACGCTCACGTCATGGAAGTGTTCTTCGAAATAGGTTACTAATCCGAATTACGCGTCAGTATAGCTTCTGTGGCAACGTAGTCGTCGGGACCTATGTATTACAGTCCAATATTTCCACCATTTCCCCTCAGCTACTCGCTTAGACGCGAGGGTGACCGTTTCTGATGTTGGAGTGGGATACTAAAGTTTCACTTTATGCTCCATGCTCACCTTTCGTTTTAATTACAGTTCGGTTGCTTCATGTAAGAAAACTAATGCATCTCTCGGCATGTGTGCATGCGGAACCAACGCCCCTTCTGGTGACTCGTTTTCGTAATTTGGTAACCATATTTTCCATAATCCGACAACATACCACTGTTTATCGTGGTAGGGTTTTTCGGTACTTTTTATTGATCTATGACGCATAACTCCGTTGCCCACTGCCACCTTATAAGACATTCATCTCATCATGCTGCTCCTCCTTAGCGACAGTTTAGCCTGTCCTCTCATGCGGGCTTTTCACTTTGAAACAGTGTCTCGGTTACTTATTATCGCGATGTTGTCAAGCGTTTTGATGGGAAAAGTTAGCTAGGTATCCTTTACCGAAGCATCGCATGGGTAGCATATAGGTCTAATTTTGTGGGGAATCCTTAGTAAGATCTTCAGCCACGAATGTGGTAACAGTCGAAGCAAGGAACATCTACTTTTATCAGGACCTACTTCGCGTATGTTTTTCGGTGAAATACCAAGAGTAACTTCTGGCGTGTAAATAGCGTCTCGGATGCAGGAACATTGAATAGCACTATACGGTAGGCGAGCTCAAGTTTGCGGTTGTTAAGACATCAAGAGCTCCTCACATTTACCTAAATTTTCTCCCAATGCATGCCGATCATTCATATGTACCATAGTTTACCACTTACATTTTGCCATCCAAGCATCTTGGATGAAAAACATTCATGAATGTACCAACCGGTGTTTGATCCTTCAAGACCCTCCCTTGTTTTTAGACGTGCCCCATTTTGCCTCTGTGAAAACTACTAATTGTGATGCATTTATTCTCTACTGTCGTACAGCAAACTGCACTATCATAATATGAGTGCAGTGACACATCGGTACAGTGAAATCGTGAAGGTGACGGATGAATTAAAACGCCTGTCTGACACTCGTGAGCGAGAACTCGCAGTAAGTTTCTATAAAATTCTTCATCTTTTCTACGGTTTTGTTATGGCGTGCCAACTTTTGACGATAGCGTGTTTGGCTTCAGGCTTGACAAATCCAGTAGAATACTCTCCCGACAAAGAAACCTCCGTTCATGGAACATTTCGAGAACAATTTTTGAGATTCAGCTACGGCAGTGAAGCATCGGTGTTGAACACTGATGCCGTGCTGTCTGTCTTATTTTTGCAATACGGATTCTTTATGTTGGGAAAATTCTAAAGCAGCTAGGTTACAAACGCTCAGACAGAAACAACAATCGCACAAATGGCTTATTCTTTTTGGCGTTGATCTTATTCCGCATGCTAGACGAACTGCGACGGACCGGATTCCACTCATCCAAAGAAGTTGAGGCATGATAAGCAACCCTCGGTTCGTGATCGAACTCACCTCACTTCATCTGTCCGACCTTCGCCACGACAGTAACTCGTTTAAGTGCTAGCTTCTCCACGAAACTGTTTGTCTTGCGACGGAAAGATACGGAGGGTCTCTCCACCAAGTGAGACTGATCATTCAGTGTCAAGCCATTTTCGGGTATGGCTTGCAATGAAGAACGAAAAACACACTAAGAAACCTTGAAATGTGTGCTCAATTGCCCAGAGGAAGATGGCTTTTGCGAAGAGGATAAACGCGAGCCTTCAGTGATTAGTTTACCTTGAAGAAACGCAAGCAACTTTGTATGACTCTACCGTGGAATACCAATGGTATTTTCTCTAACCTGTAACTACTGTTTTTAACATTCGTGTGCGAAACTGGAAATTAGTTTTCTTAGTTTTTATCATGCTTCCGTTTTCTACAGAACTTCCAAATGAGAAACGGTTTGAGTGCGTTTGACTTGTGTTTCTTAGGAAGTGCGAGTACCTTATCTTCCTAACTGGACTACGTGCGGTCTTCCATGATGTCATAGTGTAGCTCCGCCACGGGATTTCAAAACCAAATGTGATAGGTGGTCCGTTAACCGTCTTTGAATCTGATGACCTGGGTTTCCGGTCTGCACTGGTGTTCGATGCTTAACTGTTGATCTTCATTTTGAAGTCTAGTACCACTAGTTGAAATATCACATACACGTAATTTTGTGGCTTTGCTTTCACGTTTCTTAGCTGTGTATGATGCTCGACGATACAGCGGTTCTTGCTGCTACGATTTCATGTAGCAAATTGATAAGGAGAATAAGACAGAGTCAGTCGCATATTCAAGACGGTGTCCTAATCATTTCGTCGACGTCGTACTTTTTTTCTGCATGCACTAGGGGGGAACATATCATTGCAAGACATCCGTTGGCTGTGTGGCCGGGTCACATCTGTCAGAACATAATCTTTGATGTGTCTCTTTCCGCTGTCCCCAACCAAGGCAGTTCCCGACGCGTTTGAATCCACTGGACGTGGACTAACCTTCTCTGGATTGCTTGTATTTCATATGTGGCCCGGCGAAAGCGGTTCGCTAAGTCAAATGGTTGTCGAATTTGTAGAGCTTGTGGCCTAACCAGCTTGTTCTGTATGGTGTGACTAGCTTGTGCGTGGTGGCTGGCGTGGCGAGATGAATCAGTGGTTAGAGCGCGAATTTACTGACCGGAAGGTCCGTGGTTCGAACCCGACCTCTCTGAGTGTAAATATTCTGACTTGTGACTCGTTTAGCTTATCTTCTCGACTGTCCTAACCGCTTCAGGCAATCATTTACTCGTTTTTTTCACATTTCAGAGATTACTCCCAGTCTTGGAGAAGATTGATCAGCTGCAATTCGACTTTGCCAAGAGAGCCGCAGTAAGTGTTTCCTAATATACACCAACACCATTCCCGGAATTTATCATTGCTATTTCTTCCTTTTGAGAGGAAGTGTTTTGACACCATATGAAGCTGTTTAGCGCAAAGTGAATATCGGTGATGTTGTATGTGCTTTAGACACCGTTATTGTTGGAACCGTTGTTCGTACTTCCTTGTTCTTTCGCAGTTTGCTGCGCAGAATACGGTGTTTCTATCGGTCATGCAGTAGCTTTTTACAGGCTCCTTCACTGTCTAACTTGAATATTTTATGTTCTGCATTGATATTTCCAGCCGTTCAAAAATTGGATGGAACAAACGGAAGAAGACCTACGTGATACGCCAATTGTACACACTATGGCCGAGGTTCAGGTGAGCATGTTGCGCTTTCATCACTGTTCCTTACTTAAGGAGGAAGTAAATTGTATCGTTTTCCGTCCATTCATCGTCACCAGATTCATCTCTACATTGCATGGTTATACAAGGCTATTTTCTAAGTCGCGCGGAGTGGACGGTCAAGTACACCATGTGGGCGAAAGAACACTCCTGGAACGAAATCGAATTATCGAGTTCCCGCCTACCGAACGCGTCCTCAACCAACTGAGCTACTGGGTACACTGTCTCAAAACGCACTCATACACCGTAATTTCACAAGTGGTTTTCCAATAGATTAACGACCGAAGATGAATGGTACTTTCGCGTAACTTCCAAAATGCTCTAGGCGCCCAAACGCCCTGCGTAAATTGATGTAACTAGAAAGGAGTTGGTCGTTTTCGTGACACATCACGCTACCAATAGGGCTACTGGAAGCTCCTCAACAACGTCCTCCTTGGTACTCACCGGGAAGGTGTGGTCTCCAAGCTTCCGTCAACTCAATGTTCTGCTTGAACACCAAGCAGTCCGCATTCGGCGGAATACACCCAGTTGTAAAATTCGCTGGTTTCAACCAGAGGTTCAGCGGGCTTCCAGCTAAACGTCTTGTTTATGGTGTTCAGCTTAATGGCCTCCTCATATTTTAGTTTGTATGATTGATATAAATAATGAAATTCGGTCGTTGTTCCTATTGTCCCCGAGTATTGAGGTGTTTTCGAACTTATCTTTTCAAAATTTTGTTTCGGTGAGCTACATAGTTGGGGTCTGCCATACGGCTAATGCTGCTGAACACTCGAGCCATGTCAACAGTACACTGCGAACTTTGCACCTGACGACAACTGATCACAGCGAAGTCCATTGTGTGATCCGAAAACTTAGTTGAGTGAGATAATCGTCTTTAATTGTTCTCTCCTCGTTCAGATACATCCCGTGATAGAATCGTACGACCAAGCATGGTTTTAATTAGCTTCGTAAACTTTGAGACTCTGCGGGCATTGGATTGACATTCTAGGATACGCACAGTAGAAAACCGAAGGGTAATCGCAAAAATTCTATGACCCCAGATTGATAGCCATTTGGTGAATCTAGTTAGTTTTCTCTCAGGGAAGCATCTATTCAACTAGAACAGGGCAAATAGAAAAGATCAGAATTCACCACCCTTCATCTGTCGTCTCATCTTAACCAAACTCTAGCACGTCGACAACAGCCCACATAGCTTGCATGACATCTTGTAATAACGTAACCCACATAACCGCAATAGTGAAAGTGGCTACAACACGTGAAACGATGCCCATGTGCGCTGAACGGTGCATAAATCTACTACTTAATCTGGATACGATTAACCAATCCAGGGCGTATTGCATAAGAGATCTTAGCTTAGCCGTACATATGCAGAATCCAGGCTTCCCTTTTTCACGGCGCTGGTTGGGACATGTACTCCACATGCCAGAAGACCGTCCGCCTCACAGAGCTCTTTTCTCCCAGCCCTGTGCTGAGTGGAAGCGACCGAGAGGTGGACAGTGTATGACTTGGCAACGAAGTACGAAAACACTAACCAGGAAATTTAGTCGAGTGGACAACTACCGAGACTCAAATCACCAGGGGTTAATGACATTGGCGAAAATGGCCCAATCGCGCAGTCTAGCGCTCGTGCATCAAAGCTCTCGCCTTCAACGCGTAGCTACCCAATTTCCGAACAAACTGGTCATGCCTTCGCCTCCAATGCTTGGTTGTATGTTCCAGTTTCCCGTTTTCCGGTGATATAAACTGCAGCAGCTGGAACCAATGTACCTATGGCACACAGTTTATAGCTGATAAATTGAATTGTTTGATTGACTCCAGCAGCCGGGTTGGAATCGAGGCCGTGAAAACAGCCGGTCAGTGGGGCATTAGTTTCAGCCATATATAGGGTTGCTAAGTCAGTAAGGTAGATCCTAAATTTAGTGATAGTGTCTATCCGAGTTTGTCTAGATGTCACGATACTCCAAAAGGCTATCAGTTTAAAAGGGGAGGAATCCCAGTTTCTTGTTTTTTTTAAAAAAAAATTTGAATGCCAACCGTATTCAACTCAACCCCTGACTTTTTTGAACACAGGACCTCTATATCTTATCCTAGTTTCGTTAGGATCCGTTGATTAGTTGACGTTCAAAAACACTGGTGTTATACAGTTTTCTGTACCTCTTGCATAGCAACCTTAATGTAGCATCAAATATCAAAAGTACACATCAGACTATCTTCTCCGTGTTGTAAGGTGAACGCGTAAACTAATGAAAGTGGGTTGATGTCTGTACAGCTGATACTGGATTGGGTAATTGTCCATCTTGGATTGCGAGAATCATGATTAGGATCCGGGGAACGTACAGAGTCATGTTTGGGGATGCCTGCTCCGAAATCTTTGAATCATCTGATTAGAGGAGTGGAGTTGTTTTTGGTAAGATAAACATATATTTATCTTAGTTGCAGTCTGTACAAGAGCACTCAGATTCACCCGGCAGACGACAATAATCAGCCTCATCATCACAGCCTGGCAAGCGTGGACAAAAGCCACCTTTCCGCCCTTAGATTAACTTGGCAATTCAAACAGCGGGATCTATCGGCTGAAGAGATTGTCACAAGTAGGGCAGTATAAACATTTTCAACCAAACCATGTTCAAAAAGTGGGCGGAATAGCTTGACTATTGGCTTGCTTCTGCAATGACAAGCATTTTCGGGTATCACAACCAGATTGAGATTGTCACAGTAGGGCAGTATAAACATTTCAACCAAACCATGTTCGAAAAGTGGGCGGAATAGCTTGACTCTTGGCTTGCTTCTGCAATGACAAGCATTTTCGGGTATCACAACCAGATTGCTCGAAAGAGCTTACTCCACTTGCGGGATAAGGCTCAGCTAAATACTGAGTTGTTTAGGAGTAATCAGCTTGTTCATCATTCGTGCCCAGTGAAATGTATTTCTACTCCTACGGTAAAAGCAGATAAGGTTGGGATTCGGACCTGGATCGTTGATTTGATAGTTAGTATGTTGCTCCTAGGCCACCCGGGTTATGGTATTTATCCATAATTTCCGATACTGAAAGAGTATTGACAGTTTGTGGATACTGTTTTCCAGCAAACTGAATTTGTTACACCAGTCTTCGTTGCCCTCATATTTTTTCTAAACGATGACAATGGTGGACAGGCTCGATGGGCTTCGAATTTTCTGATTAAATTTTCATTATACGGAACGTCGATTTTTTAAGGCATTCGGCTGGTGATGTCTTGAGTGAACACTCGTTCACTGAAACCACTTTAGCAGTATGCTGGGCTGCACGTGGTAACAGCATGAGAACTAATGACTTTAGTTGACACAAATAGGCAAAATGGAAATCCCTTGTCGTTCTTTGAATTCTATCGACAATGCTGTACACTTACAGGAAACAGATTTTCGGTTCGAAGCAAGAGTTTTTTCAAACCTCTCCTTGAACTATCTTGGCGATATGTACTTAGTCCTTTCCGTTGCAGCCACTTGTCGGATCTGTTAGCCCGATTCGATTCTGCCCGTATTCTTTTCATAGTTTAGTCAATCCAGTTTCAAGACTTCCTAGTTTTCCATATTCCCCTGAAAGAGACTAGCAACCGCCCGGTAAAATGTAGGATGCCAAAACTATCGGCTGTATAATAAATCACGCGTTTTGTATCACGCAACAGTACTCACTCCTAGTCTTTGCTTGAGCCGATCTTGTGTTGTTGCTAGTAAGTCACTCGTTTATTTATCACGCCGTGGAGTTATAAAAACGTGCAATTCAGTCCAGAGGCTATCTGACGCACTCGTTTCATTGGGAATTATTTTAAAGCTTTTTATGTGCTATCATTAGTATATTTACTTAGGATTTTGTGTTTTGCGGGCTCTCGTGGAGTCCGTAGGAAACAGGGTTTAGAATGATTTACCTGGAGCACATATCCAGTTAAAGTAGAATGAAAAGTACCTTTCTTCCTTGTCCATTTGAGTACGTGTTTTCCATTCGTTGGCGTCATTTTTCAGTCGTCATTCGAATGCGTCCTCTGAAAGTGAATATTCTGAAGGGCGATGTGCTGTGGTTTGTCCAGTTTTACTCAAAGCTTCAATTTTCAACCTTAACCAACCATTTTAAAGAACCCGGCGGCTGTGAGATTCTATCGTGATCTGTCGATGATTAGGTTTTTGAGAGCTCAGCGAACTTTACCCCACGTTTCTGGAAGCAGTCAAACGTATCAATCGAATGTTGACTGTAGAACCAGCACGGAAGACTTATTAAATGAGACATAGAGGGAGATGAGTGTCCGTTATTTACCATAATTATTTCGTGAAATCTTTTTTCAGAGGAGTTTAAGTCAACGCTAAGATAAGCTGACCACTCTTTCTTAACCACACGCATAGTCAGGTAGTTTGAATTGCCTCCCACTGTTGGATGTGCATCATCTCTGTTGATTTCACCACTACGTGCTTCCCCAACCAACAGCGTTACGTCAGCGCTCATACTGCGTTTGAAGGAACCCTTAAAGGTACAGAAGCCGAATGCACTTCGATTGCTCAGTGCGCGAGTGAGGTGCAGCGGCTCGTGCAGGATAACAAGCTTTCCGGAATTATGGAGAACCCATATACAAATATCAAGCCAGCGGTAAGCTTTTCTTTTGGCATGACCCCCTTTTGCATTACGCATACCTATTTGACCCTCTTCTCTTAAAGTGCACTGGAGCGTGGAAGTCCAGGTGGAACAGGGACCCAGTGATTTATCTCTTGTTTGTGTGTACTGGTCGCATCGAGCGAATATCGTTTGAATTTTGCGAATACGGTACCCATATGAATATGCTACCTCGTCTCCATGGAGATGATAGCATACCGACAATCTCCTATTACAGGACACTCCTTCAGTATGAAGTGCTTTTCTATTGGTATCCAAGTATTTTGATCGCACCTAAGTGAAAAGTTGCAATGTTACGGTTACAACTGTCAAGGTAAAACTGCAAAAAAAAACAGCAGAGTAAACCACAACTTCCTGTTAGTGGGAGGTAGTTAACTAACTCTCAGTTATTGACCTTGCGGCTGTTGCGCCACAGCTTAGACATCCAACCAACATTGCCTGGGGAAGAAAGACCAGCTCAGTTTGACCCAATAGGGTTGTTTGGCTTTCACTGGCTAAATGAGTCGGTTAAATGTGACGTTTTTTTGTTATTTGAGGATTCATAGCCCGGCTACTGTAACGTCTACACCCGAAGGTGTGCTTACCTGTCAGGACGTCGGTTGGCTTGGTGCACGATGCTGTAACCTTTTGCGCACTCTCCCCGGTCTCTTTTAAACAGGGGTGTTAACTTCCCATACCACCTGTTGGTCGCTTGCGGGGTTTGGGTTCGACCTTTGCTCCGGTCGAAACAACGTGTTTTTCTTACCGCCTACGTTTCACTGGCTGAGTCGGTTAAATGTGACGTTTTTTTGTTATTTGAGGATTTCATAGCCCGGCTACTGTAACGTCTACACCCGAAGGTGTGCTTACCTGTCAGGACGTCGGTTGGCTTGGTGCACGATGCTGTAACCTTTTGCGCACTCCCCCCGGTCTCTTTTAAACAGGGGTGTTAACTTCCCATACCACCTGTTGGTCGCTTGCGGGGTTTGGGTTCGACCTTTGCTCCGGTCGAAACAACGTGTTTTTCTTACCGCCTACGCAACTTGCTTTGCGATTTAGTGGATTGCGCGTTCAGCTGCAATAGGAGATAGCTCAGTGGTTCAGGCGCGAACTTACTGACCTGAAGGTTCGTGGTTCGAACCCAACACCAGCATCTCAACAGTCCCCGTCTAGGCATGCGCAACCTGACAGTATCTCAGCCCTCGTGCTTATTTCGGGTAGTATGGCAGCTGGGCTGGGCAGCTATTACCGATCATTCCATTTTATTTACCACCATCTGGCCGTATGTGACCGTATGTGCCTTACCGACTGGCTTAACCAGTGAAAGGTGTCTTAGCTGGCCGGTAATGGATTATTCACTCAGACTTCCCACTTGTTCCTAATGTTCTTCGATCGAATGTGTATTCCAATGCCTTTTTCGGATTCAGTTGGGCCAGTATACTTAAGCAGTGCTACACAAGATCAGTTTAGCTGGTGTGATGAGGCTTGTACATACCCCGATTGCCGGAAAAAGTTGGAGTAGCCCAGCCACTCTAATACCGTTGGTACTTCAGGCAGGGGTACCGTAACCGAGCTTATTTCTTCACGATCAAATGGACCGGCGAACAAGTTTATGGGGGTAGATTCCACGACTCTTCATATAGTTAGCCGTAGCTAGTGCGAAATGTCCATTTGTAGTTCCCATTTTAGCATGGCTTCGTGTCAAGAATGATTAAGTTCGGACAATGTGAATTCTTTAAAAGTCCACCTCAGTCAGTCCGACCCATGTTTTTGTGACTTCCATATCTGGCTTCAAATACAAATTATTATTCTCCTTAACGCATGTAACGAGTAGACAATCAGTCTTCGGGTAAAAGTGGTCAGATAGGTACTTAGTTCATGAGGCACGCAGTCATCCGCAAACCAATTCTTTTTAACCGCATTCCACCCGAATCCCAGCTAAATCCTTTTTTTCATCACAATCCCTATGCTCAAGTATTGTGCTTCACGAAAATATCTCCGCCTCCTCGTGGGTAATTGGACAGCGTCACTCCAACCGTCTTACTTAAATGCGTTCTGATCATTCTTCGCCTTTAGCACGCAGATCTAGACATTTATTCGAGAAACTAAACAAACCTTTTAGTAGAGCTCAAAATTCTGTCATTACAAGTGGTCTACGTCTGTAGGAACAAAACGTTAATTGAGACGCATTTATCGATGCTTCTAATCCCCGGGTATAGTGAATAGCCCCGAAATGGCACGAATGGTAACAATATTTGAACATCGCCTTGAGGTGAGAGACATACTCAAAGCGTTCGACTGACTATGGAAAAACTGTTCCGAAAAGGCGATGTGAGCTTTAAAAAGATATGGTTTGACTCATGTTGCAGTGTTGCAACCTGCAGGAAACAATGGATCCCTTGATTACTTAAGCAAGTGGAAAACGAGCGGTCCAACTGTGAGCCTATTGGTCTCTTTGGCTCCAAACACCCTGGAGACCCAACGATAGTTGTTTTTCAGTAACAAGTTTGTTGATTTTGTTGGGATGACTATTCTGATTACATTGAACCTTTCTACGACTGTCTTAGGAATAGAAACGTGCGCTGTGGAACTTTAACTCTCTCTAGGATCATTGCTTCTAGCGGCCTATGACCGTCTAGCTGAATTTTGTGCATATGAGTGAGGACCAATAAAGTGATTCGTTCCGATTACTTCCATTTTGCCTCTTGTTTGCCTACCCAACCATACGAGTTCCGAGGTATCGCGTTTCGTCGACATTCTGTGATCGACCCTTTGTGGTAACGCTTTTCACAACATTGTGTAATACCCTTCAAAACTGGGTTTCTTTGGTCTGTTGTACTCAAGTAAACAAGTCCAGAATTTCTATTTGCCTCTTTCCTAACTTCAGGAGTTAACTGAACGCTGGGCAGTCATCAAAGATTTGGCGAAGAAGCGCAGTGAGATCTTGCGAGAGGAAGAATTGCGCCAGGTGAATAATGATAAATTGCGGCGGCAGTTCACCGAGAAGGCTACAGAATTCGATAAGTGGCTTCAGCAGCAAAAGTCGAATCTCGCCCGCAACGCAATGGAAGCCCGTGGATCGCTAGAGAAACAACGTGATGAACTAAAGAACATGGAGGTTGAAATTGGGAAGCACAAGCGTATGCTGGATGAATTAGAACAGTGCAATCAAGTAAGGCGGTTGTGATCATTCACGTGCGTCCCGTAATCTTGCCTATCAACGTATCATAGGACTTCTGCTGTATAACGTGTCGGCCTGTGTTAGAATCGACGTGACCAGCAAAGGAATGCAGTTCATTCGGTGGAACGACGTGTTTCTACCACTGAAGATTATTTCCGCATCGCTGTTTTATTAGTGTAAGGGGAGCACTGGTGTTCAACACTGACTTGGTTCTGACTGGCTCTATTCTGACTGTATCCACTAAAAACCAGGGGAATATCGGATGCGCGAAAATTGGCATTCTACAAAATTTCCCCTAATGGCTTCCAGAAAAGTAATTGAGACTCTAATCCGGTTGGTCATCTTAGCACTAGGCACCTTACAGAAACGGATGTCCTGCAGGAAATTCGGTGACCTTTGTTTCAACCCAGCCATATTTTAAAAAGATGGTATTGCTTCGTTAGATCAATAGTCACTAAACCGCTTCGCAAACATGCTGAGGTGTTTTGGAGCACAACTACTGGTCAAATCAACCATTGCTTGCCAAACGCCGATCAGGTCTAGTATTTCCTGTGACATACACGGAATTATATGTGTGCGCTGTATTCAAATAAACAGTCATACGGCCTGTGGCGCCTACCCATGCTTGCATTACGGTCCATTGGGCTTAAAACTGTCTGTCATTCATTAAGGTCTTGTAAATTTCTAGTCTGACTCATTGGTATAGTGCTTGCGGTTATTGTTACCGTTCAGCTGTGGCACCCTTTCAGTGCCTAACTGTCATGCCACCAGAAGGAAACACGAGGGCTGGGATACTGCCAGGTCGCCCAGCCTAGACAGGGGAAGTCGAGAGGCAGGGGTTCGGTTAGAACCGCGGACCTTCTGGTCAGTAAATTCGCGCTCTTATCACTTGAGCCATCTCACCCCATCTCTCGGTTATTGGCATCGCACCCCAGTGATGTATCAGTTCAGCAGTAAGGATTGCCGCTTGAACTTACTGCCCCCCGAGGTCGTATCTGGAGCAGCTTGCTGTGTTCATGAGTATTTTCAACGGTCAAAAGACCCTTCTTGAACAGAACCCAAATGGTTTATCTTCAACAGTATTAGATGGAAAGGAATGGTTCAACGATGTGTACTAGTTGCTCTGGTTCACTCCATGTTGCATGTCAGCCGGGCTTGTGTGCGTAGCTCCATGGTTCGTTTCTCTGTGATGAAACCCAGAGGGCGATAAAAAATCACCACTAATTCTGGTGTCCATTGGACACTAGCTACCATGTGACCTGCGCGAAAAAGGGCTAATTCCAAAAATTTTCTGCTTATTGTTTGCTGTCTCTATTTCACTGAATAACATCAATTTAGCAACTGGTTGAATAGACCGCGCCCATTTTAAACCATGGAAAACTGGCATAGAGTCAAATAGCTTTCCATATCAGACCACTCAGTAAGGAACTCCGCGAACTGGACACGTATTTTACTTGCACGCTGGACTGAGGGACGCTCAGTCTACGTTCGATAATGAAATCATCGATGACGTTTTTGATAGCCAGTCGACAAGACTGAGTTCAGGGATGCTGCATCTAAACCTAGGCATACCAGCCACGTGACTGACATGTTTCTCGGTTCTTTTGAGTACTATATTCACCGGACTACACAGTACTTCCTGTTCTGCAATTACCTTGCAAGCTTTTCTGTCATGGCCACTAATCGATCATGCTGCCTGCGCATGAGAGGCAAAAGAGTACAATCAATGTTAGGAAAATCTTAGTTTTCTTAGCATTAACCCTTCAACTGAAAAATAACTGTAGTATCTTATGGCCAACATTAAATTGGACCTATTTGGTCAGTTTACTTACACTTAACTGATTAACGGTTTTAACAGTGTTTGGGCTTCAAGTCACCATATTCACAGCTCCCTATAGTTGTACCACCATCGCTCACAGGAATCGAGCATTCTTTTATTTTGATGGGAAATACCTCCTCATTATTTTCATATTTTCTACTCCAAAGGCCCTTGAAGATGCTTACGTCTTTGATAACCTAAACACATCTTTGTCGATGCCGACGTTGCGGGTAGCGTGGGAGCAGTTGTTCACTTCCCTGCATCATTCTGTCAACGTTATCGAGAATCAGATACTCACCAGAGATTCGAAAGGTCTGACTGCGGAACAAATGGCCGATTTACGCACCTGCTTCAGTCATTTCGATAAGAACGGTACCGGACGCTTGGAGGCACCCGAGTTCAAGGCTTGTCTAGTCTCGCTTGGCCATAGCTTTGGGGATGATCCCAGAGGGGTGAGTCTTCACGGTCATTTCTTTTGCCTTTCTCATGCCTTTCAGCTGCTTTTTCCTAGTGCTCTTGTGTTCCTTTTTCATTTATTCTCCCATTCATCGTGTTCTTTTGCGGCGAATTCTCTACAGGGAGTGTTTGGTCTTTCTAAGCATAACTGAGCCTGTATCCAAGGTAGTTTGGTCATGTCTGAACTTCGAAAAGTCTTGTTTGAGTTGTTTCGCATTTGCTAGGAGTATTTACCTTCCCGGTCGCCCAAAAGTGTTAGTCTGGGTGCAGCATACGTGTTCACAGAGCTCATAATGATGAACCACTGGGCTAAACCTCATCTAAAAACTTAATCTCTAGCTTGATAATAGATGTAACTTCTCAAGTTTTCTCAAGCCATTTCGGTGATAACCAGGCTGGAACTGGCGTACAACGTGTAAGAAAGTCGATTTCACAGTGCATTACATGAATTCTAAATCAAATTAGACTTGTTCATCTAGACTAAAAAACGATGAAAACTGATCAATCGAGTCGAGGAGAAAGCGGTGTACTTTGCCGACAGTTTCGTCAGATGAAAACAAATTAAGATAGTTATCTGCCTTTTTGGACCCTTCGTTCAATGTATCAGCTTTAAACTTACGATGGCTACCTAAAACGTAGACAGACGCGACAGAACCTTATGGAACTTCCAACAGCGCCAAAAGCCATGCACTTCTGTTAGTCCCTCGGCGTTTCCGTAGAGCAACTTGCCGTGTGTAACATACCCTATATTGGTCTGGCTTAATCAAGACGACATTGTGTTCTCAGCGCCATCTGCAGGATCGCTCTCAAGGCATTGCTTTTGACAGTGCTTCCTTGGTAAAATCTCTTCATAAAAACTAAAAATTAGTTGATTTAAAATTATTTCTCTACAGCCCAACCTCATCTTACGTTCATCAGCCCATACTTTGCCGCATTCCTTCAGACCGTGCTCGTTGAACCAAACACGGACACTGTTTGCCGGGTGTGCGCGATTCTCAGTCCAGGATAATAACCCTCTGCAAAGATGGTACTTCATTTCTTCAAGTCCCACGCAGAATCAGCTGGATTGAAACGGTCGCATATTTACCCCTATCTTAGTTTCTATAGTTCGATGGCACGTCAGATCAGACTTGTTCGCCTGGTCATCGTTGTTGGTTGGAACTGTATGTGTGATGAACGGGGCCAGCAGCTGCATACTTTTGGCAAGCATTGACCGCCCTATGCTGGTCAAGATCTGTGGTAGTGCTGTTTTTACAGGCAATTAACCAACGCGGTTGTGTGTTATGTTTCTGTCCTCCCATCTCAGCGGCGAACGGAAACAACTATGTGGTTTGATCGGGGCTGATCAGGTTATAATCTGGGGACTCAGTAATATAAGATGAAATCGAGTGATCCAACTGGCCGGTATTTCATCTGCGAGACCGTCTTCTGCTCGTCAAACGTTTGGAGGTTTACGAACGTACGATAGTTTAGAGATTCCTTCGCTACTGTTACCACCACATTATACACAAGATGCTGAAAAGTACAATTATTCGACTTTCCAAGTTTCGTTTACTATTCAGAACTCACTATGGGTTACTTGGCTAATAGGTTTGTATAAGTTGAAACAGAGGAACGAGAGATGTTTGGAGTCAACAACTATGTGGTTTGATCGGGGCTGATCAGGTTATAATCTGGGGACTCAGTAATATAAGATGAAATCGAGTGATCCAACTGGCCGGTATTTCATCTGCGAGACCGTCTTCTGCTCGTCAAACGTTTGGAGGTTTACGAACGTACGATAGTTTAGAGATTCCTTCGCTACTGTTACCACCACATTATACACAAGATGCTGAAAAGTACAATTATTCGACTTTCCAAGTTTCGTTTACTATTCAGAACTCACTACGGGTTACTTGGCTAATAGGTTTATATAAGTTGAAACAGAGGAACGAGAGATGTTTGGAGTCGAAGTTGTTTCACTTGCTGCAGGAATCCAAACAATGTGAAATCAACGACTATCACTATTCGAATGAGGTTTTCTAGGAGCAAGAGGTATCGTTAACGCAGTTTTGGGGAGTCACCATCTACCGGTATGGATTTGGTACGACCCAGTGAAACTAGATCATCTACGGATATCCTCCTTGTCCAGTGTTGGTTCTTGGATGATACCCAGCGCAGAAGATAGGAATGTCATCGTGATGATTGATTTGATATGAGTCGTTGCTTCAAGTGACGTAGGTAATGTTTGCACCATTTGTATGTACCTGCTTATCTACAGTAAGCTGGTTTCTGATGTAGCATTCTGTAGTGCCGGGTGTTCTTTTGGGGGAGAGGGCGTGAAGGCAGCTGTTCCTCTATCTGGAGGTTTCTAAAGAACAATGAATAACTGTTTGTACTACGGTTTCTCGATTTTACCATGAAATTTGAGTCTTTTTAGTTCGTTTCTGTTTTCCAATGAGTTGTTTGTGCGGGTTTTTTATAGCAGTTTTCCGAATTTCATGTGTAATAATTAAAAACGCGCTTCCTTCGCCCTAGACCTTCGGACTATTTGTTTCCATTCTGCGATCCGATGGTACTTTTTTGTTTTCGCCTAGTATTTTTGTGAAATGTGAATGCATGTCTCATCAATCTGGGAGCTGCAGAAAAATGCCACAGTGAACCATCATTGCGAGGACTACCGCCATAGTAGAAAGTCCCCATTCCAACAGGTCCTTTCATTGTTACCTTGTTTTTCAACCAACCACAAGTGAACTTGAATTTTGCAGGTTGGTCTATGCCGTGATTCTCCCCCGAGGGTTCGGCCTGGACCCTGGATTGTACGCATACTCATTCGGATGGGATTTCTGTCTACTTTAGTGTTCTCTGGCTTGCTGTTCACATTGCTTCCTATGTCTTCGAAATTAATGATAGTCGCCAAACTTGGGTTTCAGGCCGTTATTTGTCGTAATGTAACCTCTCGGGGAACAGCTGTGTCAAAATCCTACTGCGAAGGTCTGGATAAGGTTGTGTGGCCAGGTTCGACGATGGGTGATAAGCATTTTCGGAGAATAATGCTGATCTCATTGGTCGCTGGTCGATTTCTGTTGTAATATTAGATTCTGAGATCAATGACAGCCGTCGTCCGTCCGTGAACAGGTAACGTGAGTCCGAACGGTTAAGTGGTGATATGAAACCAGTTCCATTGAGCGCCTACTGGAATTTGTTGGAAGCTAGGGCTTCTTGGGTCGATGGAGTTGGATTTGTCCGGTTGTCTGTTCATATGAGCATCCAAATTACGGAGTATGAGGTTGTACAACACAACAGTCATCGTACTTTCCTAGTTGATTGAGTGACCGTTAGCATGTGTATCAAACCCAGTCTTTCGGCTTCAGCTGCCCAAGTCTAAATCATTCTAAATGGTTTAAATATTGCACTGATTTAGTTGTCTGATGGACCAGTTCTTTTTGTTGCTCCCGTGGAGTTTAAAACCGTCTACATAGATCCTAGCTTCAATTCGCCTCTCCCGACGACTTCAAGACCAGAACCTATGTTTGGTGAATCTATGTAATCTGACGTTGCACATTTTTGGGAATCCATCTGGAGCATGGTCTTCCAGCGCGCCCTATTGATGCTAAGTGTCGATCGTTGGCAGAAGCTTGCTGCATCCCTTGTTGAAACGCTTACGTGGATGATCAGTTTTCCAGTTGGATATGATTGGTTAGTTCTCACCGTTTTTGTCGGACGATCATTTCTCACAATGATTCGTAAATGTTCAAGACTATGATTTAACGTGTTCCATTTTGTCAAGCTGCTTGATTTGACCTATATTACCAGGATCCTTATAGGCCGTTATTCCTACCAGGAACTGCCACCCTGGGGCCTTCAAACGATCGATTAATTCGGCGAAGCATCATTCTCATCATCCCATGTGTGCCTCGTTTCCACTCATTTCTTGTTCACAGTCTGTTTGCTCAACCACAGTGATTGTAAGTGTCTCAAGTCGCCGGTTCGCTTGCTTCATCATCGTTTTTGATGTCACCGTGTTGTTGTTTATCGTGTTATTGTTGTCGTTTTACTACCCGCCTTTCGGTTCTGGTGATCCAAATATTTACGAACTATTGGAAAACCATTTCACCTCTCCAATATGTTATCACAGTGTTTGGTGTCATTCGCCTCCTGATTGTCCACTATCTATCCTCCGCTATCCATCTTCACGGTGTGTTCATGTGCTCACTACATGTCCAGTTATTTTTGTGTTCTTAGCACTCCAATCGCTGCCCATTCATTTGGTGTTGGTTTCTTATCTAGTTGTCTGCTGTCCAGCAGCGCATTGAAGTCATTACGAGTCGCGCTTTAACTCATTTCTTTTCTCCTCGGGATGTGAAAAGAAAAGCCCCTCATGAGCCATTCTTCTTTTCACCATACTTCTTAGTCCGTATATGGTTGTCACCGTGAGCTTGTCATAAATTTCTCTTAAAGGGAGTTATGACTGCCTATATGGCTGCAGGCGCGGAGTGTACTGGCGCTGACCTTCAGGAATTCAAGACCTGCGTAGGTCAAATATCGAAGATTTATGGCTGAATGAGTTAATTGCTTTCAAATACACGTGTATTCTGGTCGTTTACTGCAGTTGTGTCGATGTATTTTGACCCCACCTTCGTTAACATATACAGTCAAGGGTCAAGCTTGTCCAGCATGTGTATCCCGCTGTTTAGTTGTATGACTCCGGGATACGGTGCCATGCGTTCAGTCTCACCTGTTTGGTCCCATTCCTTTGGATCGGGTTAGGCTCGTCAGGGGCCGGACATTTGGTGCACAACAGTCCTTTGCGCAATGAGTGTAGCCTCCTAAGAATCTTGTCTCTGTGTCGTTTTCCGTCGTTAGCTTGTTTGGTTTCATTGAATCACGGCAGAAATTACCCGCCACTCAAAATTCGTTGGTCACAGTACTCTGTGATGGAATTTTATGACCACCCGTGGTTTCCACCATAACTTTACTTCTAGTGGATAGAATAGAATGCTTGAAAAATGGCACA